AGAGTCCTTTTCACTGGTTTCCCTGCTTGGACTTTTACCTCAATCACTCGTCAATAGAGCCAGGAAAATGTTTCTAAGGGACAGGGCAGATTAAATGACTCTCCTTTTTAAAGACTTTGATGGATCCTCACAGTCTTTAGTATACATCACAATTTTTTTTTCTATGAAATTTCTTATCTCTTCCTCTGGTTTAAACTTTTTTCTCTATCTCACCTCTACTTTCAATCCTCTAGCCACTCTGAGTTATTTTCTCATTTTTTGACTTATGCATACACTATTTCCTTGTTTAAGATGACAGGCTTCACCTTCCTCAGCTGACAAACTTCAACTCATCCTACAACTAAACATTAATTTATTTTATTTGCCTTGTTTGATCCTCCAGACTCTTTCCGTTCTCACCAGTTGGGTTATGTGACCTTCTCTCTCACTTTCATCTCATCCTGTGCTTATATTACACTGTAATTACTTTTTACCAACCTGTCTGCTCCACTATATTCTGAAAGGAGAAACTGAATTGTTTACCACTGTATTTCCAAAACCTAACTAAATGTGTAGCACACAGTGTACACTCAAACATAACACTGAATTCTGACTAAACAAATTGGAGAATGAAAGCAAGTAATACAGCAATATGACAGTCAGGTTGAAAGAGATTAAATTAGATAACATTTCAGATTCACATTTTTTTAATTCCCTTATCTTTTGAAGCAAGTGTGTAGAACATTGACCTTTTTTGAATAAGCAAATTAAAATCAGTTTTGGAGACTTCGACTTTTTCATGCTGTTCACAATTTGAAAAATATATAACCTGGTCTAAACAGCACTCTCAGGAAATTGAATTTGTTTTAAATTCTGTGGAGTGTTTACTCAACTTGCTAAGAACCATCAGGAAGACCATTAAAATGAGAACAGAAAGTACAAAAATACGGAATGTACAATTCTGTTTCCTCAGTGGGGAAAAAAATTAACAGAGCTGGAGAATGTTCAGGACAGCGTGCATGTCAAGCCCAAGGATATGGACTAAATCGGTGTTCACTTATTCACCACACTCTAGAAATGAGGAGAACCATTATCATTTGAATAAAGGAAACTTAGAATAATCAAAATGCTAAGATGTGTAGGAACCAAATTTATCTTATTACTCTGAGGTAACAAACAGAAAGAAAAACAAGAGAGGAACTGAATAGCCCCAGTGGCATTCTTGCTCTAAGTTCTGGATGAGGCAATGAGGTGGACTGAATTCAAACACTGATAACAGCACTCTGAAATAACAGGACACTCTGACATTTGACCAACGTGTTCAGAAATTTGTTTCATATAGTCTAGAATTTGTCCCACATAACTCCTTAATAGATTTTGTCTATATTAACCCTTAAAAAGAATCAGAAATAGTAAGACAGTGAATAGCTAGTTTATATCAGTTTATAAATAATCAGAAACTTTCTTAAACCAATACAAAGGGAAACTCCCCTCCTTGTGCACATTAGTCTGCTTGGGTCTGTGTCACTAAACTTAACTTTTCTGGCCAAGCTATGCTACTAAATCCCACCTGCAGACTTAGACCTAGCTTACAGTCTGGGACAAATCCTGGCTCCAGGCCAAGGGTTGGCCAACACCTCTATGACACTGGCTCATGGGCTCAAGACAGGACATGATCTGTCACACTGCTGGTTCTGCACAGACCTGCATATCCACAGCTCTCTAGATACCAGTTTAGCTGGTATAGCAATATAACTTTTCATGCTTTATACCTGTTTTTCAGTATCCAAAATCTGCTTGGCCATCAGAAGCTGAGTTACTTAGACCTTACCTTAATCTTCCTAAGGCTGGCCTGATGGCCTGACAATGTGATAACCTGGGACACCCCTGATATCTTACATTTCACAAGGTTTTGATATTTTAATAATGTTAATAGTTTAAATTTAATACACTGTGACAAAATGGCATATTAAAAAGCACTATTTAACTTAATAATTATATTTTACCCTTTAGAGTTTAATTATCTTTCTTTCCCTTTATTTTATATGTAAATATATGCTATGTTTTTAGACTGGAGCTTAATCTGTGATCCAGTTTTTGTGAATGAAAAATAAATGCAGAATGTAGAATATCTTTCATATAATTTTTCAAAGACGATTTTAAGTTAACATAACAGGCAATATTTTTCTCAATCATAGAAGAGTTTATTTTCTAAGATAACTATGTGATTTAGAAAAGTCTGTAAGTTCTATTTGCAGCAGTGACTGATTTCCAGTTTATGAATTTAAAAACATAGTGTCTGAAATTCTTTTCAGAAGAAAGCGATTATAAAACTTCTTGAATGGCCCCTGAATATAATTAATGAGTGATTCTCTCTTTCATTATTAGCATTAAAACTGAGACTACCTAAATTTTCAAAAAACCTACTTAACATTTATTGTTAAAAATATTAATGCAGACTATATTCATATGAGTTCAAATTTATTCTTACCAGACATGCAAATTTGCAAATTTATTTATAATGACATTTTCAAATTTGACACAACTTTTTATACATGCTTGCTATTTGAAAAAATGTAAAATTCACTTTTTTTAATGCTTCAGAAATATTTATATCTGCCCACAGAAAAAATTTCAAGTTCTAAATATACCATTTATATTTAAAGATATATGTGATATTTCTATTATATGGGTAAAGAAATTACTCCATAGCTATACCTCCTTGTGAGAGACCATTCACTCAACACTTTATAGATTCTGTTCAATGAGTGAAAATTATAGGACCTTGAATATCCTACCAATGAAAATTTCATCACAGAATGGGTTTAGTAGTTGTAAACATTTATATAAAATATATAACTTTAGAAATGGATAATGAATAACAGTATTTAGATAATCTATTATAAATATCTTTTTCAAAGAAAGGAAAAAATAATATGAAACCTCAAATGGACTTAAGTTATACATAATTTACTCTTTCAGTTTTCTAATTTGGGGGCAAAAATAATAGCTTCATTCAGTCTTATTCTTAAGTGACTGAAGCAACTCTAGATACTATTACCATTTCACCTTCATACTGTGACTACCTTATAAGCTTTATGGAGGGCTAAACAGTGGTTTTATTACGTAGCCCTCAGTAATATGCTGTTGATCGCTCTTTAACAATGGGAGACATTAAATACATGTGTCCTGTTAACACCCCAGATTGTCTAAGCTCTTATGTACTCTGACATTTGTATGATGTCTTTCACTTTACAAAAAGTTGTAAAACAAATGCACAACCATTGAATCAGGAAAATGTAGACAGCAGTATAAAATACCCATCATCATGGTAGGGGATGGCCAAGACAGAAATTTTATCTTCACAACATTAGAAATTATGTCTAAAGAAAAAAAACCACATATATGTAGTATAAAAATACAGACACATATACACACTTATAGCTCTTGGGAATGAAGTTGACTAAGATTGCCTTCAGGACAACCTCTGTCCTTTCAGTGACCTTTTACCCCTGCAAGGGGTTTCTTTCAATAACTAGGCTTTATGCTGACTTAATCTTCCATGTTTAGAAACATGCCTTCTTGAAAGGATATGATAAACACTATCATATCCTTTATTGTTAATTTATTTTAACAGGTAAACAATGGGCAAGAGTTTTATGTCCACTTGCAGAAGAGAGGTGTTTTGTTTTGAACAAGGAACAAATCCTCTTAAAACAAACATCTCTGACTGTAGAATTTTTTCAAGAATTAGTGAATAGTGAGGGAGGTATTTTGAAGGAAACGGTTTTATTCTTCTAATAAAAGCTGAATGCTATGCACAAACACAGTGCAAGGCAGCAGGGTGAAATGACATCACAAAAGCAGTCACCTACACCACCCTACATATAAAGCTGGTCATAAATCCTGTCACAGTATACTTGCTGGACTGACTGACATTTCATCTTGTCTTATGTTGCAATGTAATAGGTTCTGGGACTAAATAAAAGCGGCTATCTGAGGACAACACATTTTTTTTTTCCTGCATAAACTCAGACAATGAAAATAAAGGGAAGGGAAAGGACTAAAATGTGTTGTTTCACCTAGTTTAGGAGCAATTTGATGAAGACTAAACAGAATCATGAGACACATGAGAATGAGACAGGAGAGAAAGAGCTACAACTGAAGGTTATCTTTTTAACATCTCACCAATATTTTAATCTAAGTATGTACTTCACCTCGATACCCGGATGAAGTATAGCTAAAAAATTGATAACACAGGGTTCTGCGTGTTCCACACTAAACCTCACAGCGCTAAGTACAAAGCAAACAGTAACAAAATTTTATGCATTGACTATTTGTTGAAATAAATTGAATCTTATTACTTTAATATATACCATGAACTCATGTTTGAGCCTCAAGCATGAAATCGCAGGAATCTTGATTTACTCAATGTTTTTTGAAATCAGACATCACAGAAAGGACAAAGATGCCAACACTAGACCATCAATCTTGTTATAGCTTAAAAATGATAATCCTTTAAAATTTTAGAGCATTTTCTCTAATTTTCTAGAAGCTTCCTGGGTAAAGCATGGAAGAAACAGCAATACTAAGAATCAATACTGTGAAAAAATGGGCTGATAAAATAATTTTTGTCAGTAACTAGAAAATATATTCCAATCAAAATCTTACACATATTTAAAGTGTTAAACTCTCAGGTTCCAAAAGGTTTTAGCTTTTGGTGTAGTACATCAGTAGGACATAAAGTACATACATACTCTAATGAAGCTTTTATTTTTATTGTTAGAGTCAATATATGGAAATGAATTTTATGACTTACTAAAACTTTTTAAAACACCAAATGACAGCTTAAAGCAAGTTCACATTTTTGTATTAGTTACTGCAATAGCTACAAAGTTTTGAAAGAAACTATTTCCAAAAGTTACCTGTATGACAAATTGTATACAAGTAACTGTCTGATGATCTGGTATGCACATAATTTAACTCATCAATAGTTAAATTTAATGAAGAATCTAACTTACCGGTGGATCAGCCCCCTTAGAACCAGTCAGCCCTCCTGTTAGGGATTCGATATCCTGAAAAGGGGAGAGGTGTTGATTGTAAAATGCTACTCAACAGCATGGAGAATTTCCCAGTCCCACAGTGTAATATTTTCTTTAGCTACAAAGTTAGGGCACTCAGCTACATTTGTTTTGTTTTGCTCTGTTTCATTTTGTTTTGTTTGAGACAATTTTGCACACTATAATGCTATACAAATAGCTGCATTAAAAAAATCTAGATATTTTCTCCAACTCTGTACAATGTATAAATTTTAAAAACACACACTAATTATTCTTGAAATATGCAAAGAAAATGGCTCTATATGGGAAAGCAGATGTTTCATTCTCTAAGGTGCTGAAGTGAGGGCAGAACAGGAAAAAAAAATAACAAAACTGCAATTTAACATATTATTTGCAAAAATATTAAACCCATGGAAAATGTTTAACCTACAAAAAATTCTAATTATCTATAGCAATTCTATTACTATACATGGAAGATAAAACAGATATGGGTAGATTAGCTATTCTTTTACAAGGATTGATTTCTAGTCTTTGAGTCAACAACCACAGTAGATCATCCTGAGTAATGACTATAATAGACAAAGGTATCATAAATGGAGAAGACAAAGGTATCATAAATGGAGAAATGGGTGATGCTGTGACAAACTGGAGAGCAAGTGCCCTGTTTATAGGGAAAACTACAACTCAGCCTTATCAGTTGTAGGGTTTTGGTTTCAGGGTTACTAATCATATGACTTTTTCAAAAGAAGCTAGAATTCCAGATTTTTAATGTTGGCAATTCTTTTAATTTTTAAAACATCCCCACTCTCCCCAGATCAAAACAAAAGCAAAAACAAAAACTGCTCATAGGTAGCTGAATAACAGTTTGAGGCTACATTGAGAAGTTACACTTTTTTTGCTAAAAAGTTTCTTTCTTGTGACCCTGGTCACTTATCTGTTTGCATCTAGCTGAAAGAATAGAGTTGAGGAACCTGGGAAAATACAGATGCAGCAAGAAATCAACGATGAAAGAAAGATGATTGAGCAAAGATAGAAGGAAAAGAAATTTAAATATCTATGATCAGAGAATCAGCCAACACCTGGATATCATTAAGAAGACTCATGCACTGATTCAGTTGGGACTTAATTACATCGTTATTCTCTGGTATCTCAAAAATGGGGAATCTTAACGATAAATGTGGGGCTGAAATGAGCATATGAAGAACAGTAAAGGTAGGGCAGTGAAAAAGAAAGGGATAGTGTAGTGGAAGTGTCCACCTGAAGAAGCTGACTTTAACAGGTACTCAATGGGTGATGATACATGCATTTATTAAGGACTATAATTAATAAGACAATCACATGGAACGCTTGCCAAGAAAATTAAGTTGTCTTTTCCATAATGGATATACTGTATATAATATTTTCCCTACCCAGCATCCCTTTGAGGAACTTCCTCCCTCCCCCCAATTCTAGCTCCAAAAGAAACATAAAAATTGCTTCAAATGTTTTATGAACCTGCCAGAGAATTAAGGCAATATAGATTCTAGAAGATATAATGGTAGTCTTAAGTCCTTGACACTATCATTTGAGCAATGTTTGAAACTAGATGTTCTTCCTGCCTCCAACTTGAAGTTTCTGGCTCTCAAACATTCAAATCCTAATTAACACGTCTCTAAAGTCTGTTTTTGAGAGGCCCTCCCTCCCCATCCTGTTGAAATTCTTTATTCCAACACCATGCATACCATAAACAATCAACCCACCTAAATCATTTGATCTTACATGTTCTTTAACATTTCTATTAAGTAATCTAAATAAGTTATGTCCATATATAATAAAATTAAGCCTGAAACATATTTGTAAATTGGCAAAAATTAGTATTACTTTTGAATTCAAAGATAAAATGTAATTTAAAAATTTATTTTAGAATTTCATGGAATGAACTGACAAGATTTGGTAATAACATGGCTAAAGTATTAGATGCACAGAAAATAAAACACACAGCCCTTTGCATTATTTGATAACACTCCTGTTATGACTGAGACAAAAATCCTATTCATATGAAAGTTTTCTTCCAAGTACATTTTAAATGGAAAAAAAAGGTGTTAAGTACATTTTGAGTTAATACATTTTGTTCTTCATATAAAGGCATAGAAATTCTATCAACAATAGAAACTCATGATATTATCAGAGATTATAGAGAAAATTCAGAGGAAAAAACTTAGCAGTTTGCTTGATGCATTTTGTCATCTTATTAAAATTCTACCATGACGATTTCTTGCCATCACAGAAGAGTTGGGCCAAAGCTCAGATTTTAAAAGTTTAAGCTTTTCATGATAGTCATGGTCTTGAGAAGAATAAAGGAACAATAGAATCTAGAAGATGAATGGAAAAGGCATTGGTATTTATGGTTTTTAACATGTTGAATTAAAGAAATTATGAACTGGGCTCTAAAGAGAATACAGATGTATTCTTTTATTCTGTTTATTCTTTTAATTAAAAACAATTTTTTGAGTTTATGTTCTATTTTGAATGTAAGTTGAGAGCGTGTGGACAGATGCCAAGTTAAACACTGCTTATCTATCACTTGATGCAAAAAAGAAATTTTCAGATGTGAATAATGAGCATGAATTCATTTATGCTGTAAAATTAATAGGTGAAATAAATCCCTTCAGAAACTCTGAAAATTGTTAAAAGTGAGTCAATCTTTTTGATGATTGTTGAATATTTTATCTATAAAATATAACTGAAATCTTTGACAAGTGTTTCTATCTTGTTATTTAAACGTCTTTTTATATAGGTAACAAAAAGGGAGACACTAAAAAGTAAAAACATTGATATCCTATACAGTTTTTAAACTTAGTATTGTAATAGTATCATTTATTTGATTAAAACATCTAAAATAAACTCTGATGTTTTACTAGGTTATGGAATTTTTAAAACTATGTTATACAACATGTTCATTTAGATTTAAAAGCTAATACAATAATTACTACTTACTGAACATTTACTACACGTAGGCACTCTTTAAATACTTTATATACATTATAGACAGTTTTATAAGGTAGTTATAACAACCTTATAAAGTAGCTATTTTTTTCTCACTTAACAGGTTAAAAGGTCTACATAACTTACCCAATATCATATAGCTATTAAGTAGGGGGGGCACAATATGTATGTATGTATGTATGTATGTATGTATGTATGTATGTATCTATCTATCTATCTATCTATCTGCAAAGCTATGTTTTTAATACCAGTTGTAGAGGAGCAGCTACACCCTGGCATCTGGGTGACCTTGCACATATCCACGTGGCCATGTAGGCATAGCTAAACCGAAGGCTGGCTCAGATCTTGGTGGAATGTTTTGTCAGCCTCCTAGGAACATGACAAGGTAGGCAAGTCTTATGAAGAGCTTCCACATAGCTGTTTTCTCATTCTCCCTTGCACCAACGAGGCATAAAAATTTCCGCTTCACTCTCCCAACTTCAGATCCACCAGCAGGATATAAAACTGTTAAGATGGTATGGAATGAGCGCCTCCCCAACAGAGCAGCCCACCATTCTTATTGTCTGTCATCTGGCTCATCCAACTCAGTGTTGTCCTGTGGGACTAGGGACCAGGGCCAGGACTAGACTTAGAGAAGCAATGTTACTAGGGTGTAAAATTTAAGGAGGCACTCATTCTGAGGGTCATACAAGTACTGATCCTGTCCTCACATGATCCTAAGAGTGAGTGCCTCCTTAAATTTTATACCTTAGGCATCTTATTCTTAGACACCTGCAAAAACAAGGCTGGCACTCATACAATCCTGAACTTAAACGACTCCTTAAAACTTTGTGTCCTAAGCACCTTACTTGTCTCACCCTAGCCCTGGCCCTTATAGAATAGCTGACACCATGTGATTCTGTTTATGCTGTACATGTAATACACTCTTTAAATCCACTTGGACTTAATGTCTCCTTCCTAATCAAATCTACGGACTTGTGACAAGCCAGTCTGGCACCTGCCCACATGCTGCTGCTCAGGGAAGACTTGCTGCTTAATATCAGCATTACACGGCCTCTTTTATATGGGCTGATATTACCTACATAGAACCAAATAAACTAGAATGCATTAATTATGTAATCAACTTTATTTCTTAAAAAGAAAATTCAGGTAATGAAAGTTTCATTTCCTTCTCCAAGGTGTCAAATATCTGAATAGGATTACTAGCCAGTCCTTGACACAAGCTGTGTAGCATCAATCTCTTTTAATATGGGGGAACACTGCACCTGAGATGGAAACCTGGTAATCCAAGGCTGACTGTGAATCGGAAGACTTAAGACTTGGGAATGTAGAATCACAGATGGAGAGAAGCAATCAGTGCCAGAGCTCTAAGCAGAGTGAGATATGAGGGCAACCTGGAGCATGGGTATCAGTATCAACTCAGCTCTTGTATAAAATGAACTCCACATTGTGCTGCACTGATGCTGTTGGCTGCCCAAATGCACCCCCTCTCCATGCTCTAAAAGTTGACCTATTTTTCATTTGACAGACAATTTGAATGATGGAGCTATAGGGATTAATCATGTGGTTTTCTGTGTAAGACATTAAGTTCAGATGTTGTAAGTTCTACTTCCTCTGTGTGGAGGTGGGAAAAAGGAGGGCATTGGGATTTGAGGTTTCACTCAGTGCTATCGCTGGATCCTTATTTTTGTCCTTAAAGAGTAGAATCAGCCAGTTATGGTCAAGGAAAAGATGTTAAGACAGTTTGGGTATCAAATATACTAAAAATGAAGGACATAAAATTCTAAAAGTCAGTTGAACCTAACATTGAACTTGCTGTAAGACCCAGAACATCTTAAAACTAATAGTTGCATTTACAGTTAACATCAAGTTTTCAAGTATTACTCTTTTAAAAAGTCACTTTATATAATATGAAAATACTTAATGCATTACAATATTATTACCAGCTATGAGTATTTTAAAATTTGATTTATGCATATTTATAATTTGGGACTATTTTGGAAATTTTTTGGAGGAAAGTGATTATATTT